GAAGGATAGCAGGAACTCACATTTTCATTGGTTCCAGCCTTTAACATCTTTCTCCCCTCTTCCTTGAGTACAATTCCAGTGCCATCAAGAAGTACAGAATTCAAGATTTAGCCCCTTACAAGACTATTTTGCATGGACTACTCAATAGTTAATATGGGGGGGGGGGGGAAAATCAGCGAAGGTGCCATATAGATCATTCAGCCTATAACCTCTATCCAAGATAGGTCTGACTTGATCTACACAGTTAGTGCTCCTGTCTGAAGAGTCTCTGTGTTACCTTTTTAAATGGTCCAGAAGGAAAAGGAATGTCACAAGGTTAGGTTCTGGAAGTGACAGCAATAGGTTCAGCATGCAGCTTTCCTTTGCAACCGGATCTGAAAGTGCTGCAGGAGAAAAACATGACCACACAGGAAAGGAATGAGACCTTAATGTACAGCAGAACTTGCCAAACCCACTAGGTGATGCTAAATGTTTTGCAACAATATCACAAGCAAGAGGCTCAGTATTCCCAGACACAGCCTCTCTCCCCCTTGGACTTTCAGTTTTCTTCTGACAGGGGGATTAAGAATCCTGTCCTTTGTGCAGGGGATGTAAAAGCACCCCAGACCCCAAACCAATGAGACACCCCTGCTCTGAATCAACCTAGGAAGCTGCAACTCAAATTCTTCTGAACTGGATCTCTCTTCCATTCTTAATGTCCAAAACTCAGCCTTTTTGCACCTTTCCCCAGTCTAAAATCTAATCAAGGTAGGATTCAGGCTGATTAAAAAGTAAGAGCCCTTCACCTCCACTGTATTACAGTGATATTATAGATATTACTGTTTATGCTGCTAAAGTGCCTTTTTAAAAAAGGAAGCACAATGTTAATTTAAATCACATTTAACATATATTTCTGCTGCTACACACCGATGCCCTCTGCAAAGTTGGGGTACAGTTCATCTGTGAAGAGGGGCTCAGGCAGTTCTCTGAAATACAGCTTTAATGTCCCAGCAATGGCGTTAACATCCATCTCGCTCATCATCACCGACACATCTTTGTTGTCTGGAAAAGAAAGCAAGGAGATAGGCACGTAATGAAATATTGGTCTTTTGTTTGCTCTTCTGTCTGCCTCTATTTTGTTCCCTTTGTTTATTCTTTCTCTTTGCCCAAAAAGCAGATGCTCACTGCCTGCTGTTACTGTGCTTGGGCTGACTGCAACATTCTCTATTCATCTCATATCTCAGTGCCACGCAGTGGATTACATTCACTGCCCTGTGACTGTTAAGCAGCTATAAGGCCAATGCCCCAGAACCAATCAGCCTGGGTGAGAGGTAAACCCAAAATACCCAGAAGTACTTCTACTTTGTCATTATCCTGGGCCAGATCCAACACCCAGCAAAGTCAAAAAAGGGTTTTTCCAACATCGTCAATGAAATTTGGATCAAGCCTCATATAAGTTCAATTAAATACATTTCTGTTCCCTGTTTGGACCATCCCAATACTCAGAGATGCCCTCAGCTTCTTCAAGCAGCTGCAAGTGCCTCATTCATCCCAAGTCACCAGGACCAGGTAGGAAGTGAGGCTTCTGGCTGTTCCCACTTCCTCTAGGGAGTGTGTGACATGGTATGGCAAACCACCAAGTTGTGCCTGCTGGGCAGAATAACTAGTGTATTTCTCAGGGCAAGGGTCCAGTCCATTGTGTATGTCTGTACCTGGAGATCACTATTAAAGCCATTGTGTGTTTTAGATGATAACCCTTGTGCCAGCATCTCCATTTCTTAATGCTTCCTGGGCTAGGCACAATTAACGCAGTACAGCAACCTGAAAGGGCACTTGCAGTGGAGTGCTAGTGGGGAGGAAAACATCAGGAGCAAATACTTACTGACATCGAAGGCAGCTTTCAAGGCCTGGATATCAGTTGCAACCCCTGAGACACGATAAATGCCCACTTCCTCCATCCCACGCCGCTCTATCTCCTCCACACACTGGCGCACAATGTAAGGCACCTTGGATCTCTCCCTCCTGAAAAAGTTGGAAAGAAGAGTTCAGTCCAGTGTACGTGGAAAGAACACTATTACCAGGCTCGCATTAGGCAGGGGGCAGAATGAGACCACTCCATGTCAGTGGCTCACAAACATCACATAGCCTCTTTTCAACCAGTTGTGCTGAAGTGAATGGAGCCCAGTTACCACAGTTTAAGAGCCCCTGCTTTGAATGTTACTAGTTTAAGAACTAGTAAGAGGTAAGGATGTAACCACTGGATTCTCCCTGTCATATGGTAGTTCTCCAAGGAGCTTGTTTTTTCTGAACAGAAAATTTAGTGAAACTGTTTTTGTAGCAATGTGGTGAACAGGCCTATCTGTGCACACTCACGCTGAGGGGGGACTTCAACTTCCAAGAGAAGAGCACTTGGTGAGCTCATAAGTATTAATTGCTAGGGCTGTGTGAAGCTTTGGCAGCTGATTTGATTCAGAGGAGATTCGGGAACCAAATTTCCAAATCTGAATTGAATCGGGAGACCAAGTAAAAGCTCTATATCGATTTGGAAAAGCTTTGGAAAAGCTTTGGCAGATTTGGAGATTTGACCATAGACTAAACAGGAAGCTAACAGCTACCCCCAGCTGGTAAGTCTGTTGGGGTTGGGGTAGGGATGATGTGGATACACACCCTGATGGAAGGAGAGGGAGAGGGTTGAAGCAAAGAGCAGGGCCAGAGAGGGCACAGAAAGTGCAGTTAAAGCTATGGAAAATTCTCTGAAATGTTGCAAGGTCCCTGCTTTGACTGCTTCTGCAGACTGGAGTGTACGGCTGGGTCATCTATGCACAGTGATTGTAACACTAGCAGGTGATTAGACGATTCCACAGCATCTCTGCTGCTGCCGAGTTACTGAACTTCCCTGGGGAGGAAATTCCAAGGCTTCCAAATTATCTAACATGAACAAACAGGTTTCTCTTGGCAAACAATTCATAACAAAAGATCAGGGGTTAATATAATACAACAGGATCCAGAGCACTTGAACATTTCCGAGCATGGAAAGGAAATACTGCAATTCAGTAGCTTTGGAAATCTGGAGCCAAGTCAGCTAAGTACAGACAAAAAGGTCAAGGGGCATTTCTGGAATACAGCAAAGTGAGAGATGTCTGAAGTAAACACCCTGGGTTTCCAAGCACGGGGGTGGTTTGGTTTTTTTCCATGCAAAGAATGAAGCTGCTAGGATACAAAACAGTTCTTTTCTGTAGAAATTGCTATTGATAAGAGTCATGCAGGGATAGAAAGGTATATGGATCTGTCTGCTCACTGAGGACAAAACCAGGAGTTACTTCATTGGCCCACTGTGTTTAAAATAAATCAACAAAGAAGAGATTGGTGAATCTCAGCACTGGTGAGGTGAGTATTCAGCACTGGTGAGGCCACATCTGGAGTACTGTGTTCAGTTTTGGGCCCCCCACTACAGAAAGGATGTGAACAAATTGGAGAGAGTCCAGCAGAGGGCAATGAAAGTGGTGAAGGGGCTGGGGCACATGACTCATGAGGAGAGGCTGAGAAAACTGGGCTTATTTAGTCTAGAAAATAGAAGATGAGAGGGGATTGACTAGCAGCCTTCAAGTATCTGAAGTGGGGTTTGAAAGAGGACGGAGCTAGACTAGCAATTCCCAATCTGTGGAATAGGTCCCACCAGTGGTATGCAGACAACCCATCAGTGGTATGTGTTAACAGATTTATTATAATTTATATGACAAAAATTTGCTACTGGTACTTAAGGCCGAACTGAAAAATTTGCTGCTGGTACTTAAAGTTGTATCTTTTTAAATTGGTGGTACTCAATCTGTCAGAGGTTGGGAACCACTGAGCTGGACCATTCTCAGAGGTGGCAGATGACAGTACAAGGAGCAATGGTCTCAAGTTGCAGCAAGGGAAGTTTAGGTCAGATATTAGGAAGAATTATCTCACTAGGAGGGTCATAAACATGCAATGGAAAAGGTTACCCAGAGAGGTTGTGGACTCTCCAACACTGGAGGGTTTTAAGACCTGGCTAGACAAAGCCTTGGCTGGGATGATCTAGTTGGGGACGGTCCTGCTTTGAGCAGGGGGTTGAACTAGATAGCCTCCTGAGGTCCCTTCCAACCCAAACTTTCTATGATTCTTTGAGAACTGTGACTGGCCAACTCACTTGGTGACAACAGCAATCTTGACTCCAAAGACGCCAGTCTGTTTGCGGGATGGCATTCTTTTTAGGCTGAACTCCCGACTGGTAAATTTCACAGACAGTTTCACTTCGATCTGTGAGGAAGAGACTGTTTGTTATCTTTCAAGCAATACATAGTTTATTTTTTAAAACTGTCACAACAAGGAGCAGAGAAAGTAAAACATGATAGTAAGTCTTGGCAGAGAGGCAGTGCCAGCCTCAGCTCTCTGTACTTACTCCATTCATTGAGATGACTGTCCGCTGCCAGTCTTTGTCTTGCAGTACCTGTGGATCCAGCTGAAAAACATGGAAGTTACCCACAGGTTAGAAATTGGACCCAAAGAATAGTTCAGCCAGGCCTGAAATTCAGTGCTGAAACAAACACATTCTCCACTTTATCCCAATGTCACAGCACAACGGAGAAGAGCCGCAAGTTTCAGATGTCAGGTCACTCACCGAGAGCACGCTACCCTAAACAGGGCTGTATATGAACCGTAAATGTAGAGATGAAAACCCCAGCAATGATGTATGTGCAACATCCACTTAACAAGTGGAAACCTCTGATAGCAAAACTGTTTCTCTAGCACCAATAACCTCACCTTTAAGTGACAGTCAGACTGCTCACTGCCACTGCAAAACAAAAAATTATGGCACTGACAGCCTGCCCAAGAGGGCTGCGAGTTGGCAGAATAGGTTTTCTGAAAAGAAAAGAGTGATCATCTGGAATCCAGCAAGGGGCTTCCTCCTTTCTGAAATAACAGACTGACGAGCTGCTGGCCCCAAACTGAAAGGCAGCTCATTTGCTGGCATCAGCTGGGTTTATAAAAAATTGCTGCACAGGTGTTTTGCTTTTAAAAAGTTTGGGGGTGACAAGATTAGGGATAGGAACTGGGCAGGGAGTTTTTTCTTTCAGCTTTGGGAGCCTTTCAGGGGGTTGGGTTCCCAGGTGCAGTGTGTCAGTGAGGTTTAAAGACAGACATCTGTAGCCTCTCTCATCAGTCCCGTCTGAACTTGCCTGGTTCCTCTGCACAGCTCTTCCTGGTGAAGCAGCTAGCAAGGAGGCTGTCTGAGCATTTATATGGATTTGCTTCACAAATAAGGAACTGATGAGAACAATTCATCACATCTTCAAATCACAAACCCTAGGCTTTGCCACTAATGCTCATTTGGTCCAACCTATCCAGGTCTTCAACAACACAATTGCTTGCTTGGGTACCTGGACACCATATCAGTCTCTTTCAGGGACTGTTTTTAAGCACCTGACACTGTGGATTCATTAGGGAGTAAAGTACATCATTAGCATATCAAAAAGCAAGACCTGAGCTGCAGCACTCTGCTGCTTCCCCCTGGGCACCAGCCTGCAGAGCTTTCTGGAGAGAAGGGGTGACCCAGAGGACAGGATGCTTTCCTGAAGCACACTCCTTCCAAGAGCTTCCCATAGCACTGTAGTTCCACGCTGCTCCAATTGTGAGCCGGAGGACAAATGTCGTAATGCAGCCACAAGTGGGGAGTTTGGTTCACAATTCCCCAGTGACCAGCAGGGCTGGAGCACCGAGGACTTGTCATACTGGGGCTCAGGTAGAAATGAAAAGTGGGGCTGAGAAAGAGTTGGTTCAGCAACATCACTGAGCATGCCCAGCACCAAAATGTACCTGTTCCTGAAAGTAACAATGCCCACTAAACTCAAAGTACATGATGTCTCAACAGTCAGGTCTCAGAGGAAGAAAACAGAGGAGGAACATGGAGTGAAATTCAGGAGGACCTTCCCTGAGCACCCCAATCCAAAGACAGATGTCAGTCATGTCCTTTTTAAAACCCTGCTCTGACTTGGAACCAAAGCAAGATAGCAGCTGAAATCTGCTGAGAAAAGCAGATGTCACAAAGGGAAGTGGATGAAGCACCCTAACCCAGCACACCCTATTCTTTTTCACTTCACCTCCAACATAAAGGCAAGAAATGTTCCCCACCCTGACAGAGCACCTGGCTGTTGCAGGAATCCGTGGATCAGTACAAGCTTGGAAGCTAGATCTGGACTCTCCATTTTCAGGTCTTGCTTAATTTCTTGCAACATGAAAACCAGAAGATTGGAAGCCAGCCTGTCATGTCCTAGAGATTAGCAATATATGTGAACCATACACCTGCAAAGAGCTCCAAATAGCTCAGACTGAGCTTGGAGGAGAGAGATCTGAATGCAGAATTGTATGAGCAATTGGAACCTGACTGAAGGAAACAAATCTTAGTCTCTCCTGACATGGCTCTGCAATATAAAATCCTGCCCCAGGACCCCTGATGGCTGCAGAGCAGGTGAACGCTCTTGTCTTGCACCATGGGAAGTATGGATTCAGAATCCACATCTTGGGGCACAAACAGGAAGATACTTAAATAAAATGAGTCCCACAGCACAACAACCTTCCCTGCCCCAACCCTGTGCAAAACAAGGTCAAATGTTGAACTAGATAAAACAATGCAGGGCAGTGCTGAGGCAGCACCTCGTAAACGTTTGGTCAGTGGTCAATGCCAGTCGCTGATATTCTAGATGGTATTCCACGCAAACAGCCTCTCTTGATAAGTCCCACTCCCCTCTACCAACTATCAACACATATGGTCAAATGCTGCCCTCAGTTATACAGATCAGACCCCAACCCCTGCCTCCCAGACAAGCAGAGAGAGAAAGCGAGTCAACCCAACCTTTCCTCCACGCAGTTTGTTATAGATATGGGCCCACAGTGGGGTGCTGCCCGCACACGTGCGTTTCCCTGTAGAATTGGAGCGGCTTCTGTAGGTGCAGTTGTGGCAGAAATACTTGAAGACTCCTTGCAAGGAGTAGTCGGTGACCAGCAGCTCCCACATCCCGGCTGTGCGGTGTTGAGGAGATCAAAGAATGGTGCTTAGTTGCTGTGGCTTCTAAAACCCTCAATCTCAACTGTTTGCCAAGAGGTTTTTGACTGGGATCTGTTGGAAGGACCTGCCCCCTCCGGGACAGATGGCCAAGTCCCTTCAAATCAGCTGTAATCCGTGTTGTTTTTTCCCCCAAAAAAGTTTCCAAGGTGGAAGTGCTGCATCTTTCAACAACATGCTATTCCCAGAATCAAGAGGAAACCATTTCTGAAGTGTCTGGTTTCCTGCGAACTGAACTCAGCATTCCTGAAAACCTGATTACTGGGTGACTCTGATCTGTTGTTAGAAACGTTGTGGTAACCAGGGATCCTGGCTTTCCTCTGTTTAAAAATCCCAAATTCTCTGGTAAAAATCCCAAATTTTCTGATTAAAAACCCCAAATCCATGTTTTCCTGTGATTAAAATGAAATGCCACTATCTATCTAGCTCTATCTCACTTGAACACAATGTTTTATTGATATATTAACAATTTTAAAGCAATTTGGAAGTGTACCAGTGCCTCAATCATTATAATAAAATAAATTCTAAATACCTATATACTTTGGGGTTTGATGTTGTTGTTTTTTTATCATGGAAAATCAGAGCTTCACCTGCCCCCTTTGCTCACCAGGATGTGGGTCCAGCTGTGGTTGTTGTCCCTCCACCCCCCAGCTTTGTGGCGCTGAGCAGCCCTGATACACTTGTGCCCTCCCCCTGCCCATGCTGTTGCCCCTCACTCCCAGCCTGTAGCCCCCTGGCCCTACTGCTGCTTCTCACTCCCATCCTGCAGTCCCCCATCCCTGCCAGTGCACCCCCTGCTGGAGGGGACCCCCAGCTGCCAGGGCTATAGGACCAGGGCCCACAGCCCCCTTCCCCCCAGTGCCCGAGTCCTGGGTGCTGCATGTGGGAGGTAGCAGCTGCTGCAGCTGGAGCAGAGTGTAAAGCCCAGCCCCGCTCCCTGTGGAGGGGAGCCCGTATGTGTATGCAAATGTGGGCTGCCTGTGTTGAATCCCATCCTATTCTCATCCGCCCACCCCTGTAACCGGTCTAGGTCTGATTGTAGCCTATTCCTCTCTTCTAGTGTGCCCACATCCCCCCACATCTTAGTGATGTCTGCGAATTTGAACAGGGTGCTTTTTACCCCCTTGTCCAAGTCACTGATGAAGATGTTGAATAGTGCAGGCCTGAGGACTGAGCCCTGGGGGACCCCACTGCCCACATCCCTCCAGGTCGAAAATGACCCGTCCACCACCACTCTCTGGGTGCCGCCCTCCAGCCAGCTGGTGACCCAGGATCAAGGTAAGACTAACTAGCCTATAGTTTCCCAGGTCCTCCTTCCTCCCTTTTTTGAACATGAAAATCCACACTTTGAAGAGAAAATCCACACTTTTTCATGGCAAATGGAAAATCTGGATCTGTGGTGGTAACAGTGCTTCTGGTACCATCTCTCATACTATGCATGGCTGAGAAAATGGTTGTTCATGCACTCTTCCGAGGAAGGCTCTTTAAGGAGCATATGCATCACCAAGTAGTGATTAAATAGTTAGGGCGGGCAGGGAAGCAGTGTGTGTGAAAACTATTCAGAGAGGCTCCGCCTATTTCAAGTATGACAGGAGAAGTGCCAGGAGGTGCCCAGGCAGTATCAGTCTTGCTCAGTCATAGTAGCGAACTCCCACTGTGTGGAGCAAGGCGAAGGCAAGTAAACAGATGTTACAAAAGATAAACCAACTGCAGTTTTGTGCTTTGTCTCCAGAGTGAATGCCATCTGGCAGGTTAGGATTGTCAGGAGTCTTCTTTGAGGCAATAGCCAAACAGATGACTGTCCTTTGTGATTAAGCCCTGGTGTTTGCCAAAGGCTGTTAGAACAGCTTCTGTTACCTATCCCTTCCCTTCCCACAGCATTGTGCATGGTCAACTCCCCGGCCCCTCCAAACTTTGGCTGCTGGATCAGAAGGCCTCCTCCACTCCCTGCAGCTGGAACCTCTCCAAGGAAAAGAGTTTGTACTCCACAGAGAGGAAGCTGGGAAAAATGAGTACGAGAAAGTCAAGGTTAGATGGCAAGTACCATCTAACCCCGGTATACAATGGGATCAAACGTTCAAGGCTAAAGCGGTTTCCACAACGTTATTTGAATAAACGCTCACTCCGCTGCTGAACGAGTCAAGACGACCAGGCCCAGCAACCTGATAAAACCACAGAAGGAAACAACAGAGCTAAAGGGAAGTGGACAGCATAGCTTCCCTCATCTCTCAGCAAGCTGGCACTACTGCACTGTACAGGCAGCTGACTGACAGGGTCAGCAAGCGTCGCATGGGGAAAAGGCAGCTGAGTCAGAACAGGGTGCTGGGCTGGAGGGTGAAGGCACAGGAGGCTAGTAAATGGGACAGCTCAGTGCAGGAGGAGACAGTGGCTGGTGAAAG